ATTTGTGTACAAATGGATACTTTTGACCAGATAAATTAACTTGTGGAATTTTATTATCTAGAATGAAATATATTGCAGATTCCTAGTTTTGGGAAGGGCAAGAATGTTTTATTTTTTCATGCTGTGCACTGGGTCTTCTGAGCAATGCTAGTAAAACTGGTGGTGTTATGTAGCAGCGCCCTGGCCAGACAGCGGATGGCTGAGAGAAGTTTACACTGTTGAGCATCTTGTCACATTGCAGAATGGTCACAGACGACGCATTTCACGTCCACTGTAGAGTGAGTAGAGCACCAAAGAACTGCGTTAACGCTTGGTCTTAATTTCTACAGTTCATGACAGCTCTCCTTAATTAGTATTAAAAAAAAAAAAAAGAAATAAAAAAAAAGTCTAAATTGCATGGGGTATTCGTACTGGCTAGCCTAGCCAGGGATTTTACATCCTGCATCCTAAACAAGGCAAATGATAAGCATTTTACTTTTAGTTTTAGGAGCTAGTTGCAGTTTAGTCAGCGTGATATTTATAAATCGAAAACTGCAAGAATAGACGTGTGGGTGAAGCCATAGAACATATTTGCTTGAAATTTTTTGAGCAGGGATCTTATAAAGGGCCAGAAATAAGATGTGTGGTTCACGGACAGTGAGCGTAACATCGAAGTAGGAGAAAAGTTTATAAAGGGCATTGGCAATAAACTTATTTGTTGCAGCTTTTTTTCCAAGTATTGTAAATACTCTTTCCTGATATTATGTACAGCCTTGGAATGGCACCTTTTAACTAACCCCAGGTGTATTTTGTTTCCAATGTTTTTATATACAAATGTATATATATGGTGCTCACTTTAGAACAGCAGTGTTGACCATTTATGCTGCATAGTTGTATTATAGCCTTATTAGCTGTGTATGGTTGGTTGAACCTTTGGGTGTACAAATGTTAGTCTGAGTGGTGTCCTTTATCCAGTTGTTGATAGGTGAATGATTGTGCATGTGGTGTACGTTGTATTATGTTGTCCTGTACAAGGAAGGGCGAGAATAACCACTACAGTAAGATAATATTGGACCAAACTATTATTTAGAGCAAGTAAACAAGTTTCTTGTACCCCTTAACGTGTCTTTAAAAGTTGCATATAGTTACAGTAGTGTATAAATTAAATATTGTGGAAAAACAATTAGTCTTGTATTTTTCTGTATGTGTGTATATATATATAAATATATAAAAATGTACCTCTAGCAACTTCATCTGTATTTAAGATGTGACAATCTTGACACAGAATTTTAAGAGTAGCAGTATAAATAAGCAGAATTAATGAACAGAAATATAAACATTTCTCACCAAGAAAGAATCCGTGTGTGCGTGTGTGTGTGTTACGAGGGTACCGAAATAGCAGCTGATCTTATCGCTTCCGGCAGTGTTTGGCTTTTCATTGTACAAAAGCTCACGGTGTGTGACAGAAATGGAAAATCCAGTTAATAAAAGTAATACCTTGATTGACGCAGAGCCTACGGTTCGCATGTCCGTGCGGTTTGTTACTCCGGGTGGGCACGCTGCAGTGCACCAGAGGCCGGACCTCCGGAGACGCGTTGGCTGGGAAGGAGTTCTTGATGCTGAGTGGTCACTTGAACATAGCTGAGCCCTTCCTCATGTAACAATACATTGAAACGGGGGATAGTAGAAGGAGAGCGCAGTTGCTTTGGAAAAAAATACAACTTTGTGTGTGGTTGCATGTTTATTTGTAAACTTTCAGTTAACCTGGTACTATTCCTCTCGCATAGCTAAAAATTGTTAATTTGGGCTTAAAAGGTGAGTTAAAAATTGTTAATGTGTGCTTAAAGGGTGTCTTGGTTCGCATCTGCTTAAACTAGCTTTTTGCTTAAAGGTTAAGGTAGCTATTTCTTAGGCAGACCTTCAAAAGGATTTAGAGGGCTGAATGCTTAGTAAACTCTACGAGCTACTGTGCACCTAGAGAACATTTACGATAAACTTGTCCAGCTTCCCATCATAGTAGCTAGCTGCTGCTTCTCTGCCTCGTGTCTGGCAGCTCTGCAGTTTACAATACATTGCGTTTCAACATCTCAGTTAAAATACCTCGCTGCGTGTTTGTCCAAGTGAGCGGGAGCAGCCCTAGCCATGTGCACGTCCATGAAGTCATGGGAGGGCCACCTCACCCACCCTGCTGCTGTCACTTGGGAAAAATGAGGTGCTGCACTGGTCTCAGGTTTTTCCTGTTAGCCAAAACGGTTGCGTACCAGTTTGCCACATGGGCGGAGGTGGTGTGTAAACTGATTTTCCTGTAACGAAGTATGGGATTTGATGTTTCACCAGTGCAGAGAACGTGTTTTTCATCCAAACCTTGACTGGTACTGTTGTTCTCTGTAACATAACATGGTAATAGTACAAAAGCAGCTGCTAACATCAGCACTGGAACACATCAGAGCTAACCAGCAGGACATGCTGGCGCTGGGCACAAAAGGTAGGCACCTTACGACAAAGCTGTTGGCACCCAAAGCACGTAACCCACACAACCAGGCTGTAAGACGTAGCGCTCTCTGAACATAAACTCCTGCTTCGTTTCTGCTGTCAAATGTAGCAGGATGCCAGGAGTTAATTCCCCTTATTTACTGCAACTGCTTCACAGTGTACATTGTGCAGCCCAGGCCCACATTGCAGTGTTTAGGCTGCCATGTGCTGGAAAACATCTGCTCCTGAACGCTTGGGCTAAAATTAAGTGTGTCAGTGCAGAGCTGGGAGAACAACTGAAATACCTAAGCTCCAATACAGGCACGGGCTGGCGCTGTCATCGCTTGAAAACGTCCGTGCCTTAACCTCTAGCTAGCAGATTAATGCTTTGGTTGTTTGTTTGTTTGCTTTCAGGGTACAGCGAAAAGCATTTCAAGGTGAGGGGGTGAGTGCTAGCTCCCAGCCCAGGCTGAGCGAGGGCCCTGAGCTGGGGCAGTTCAGAGCCTGAGCCTTAACTGCTCCTGTGACCCAAATCATCACCAGAGACAGTACTGGCCGCATGGTGTTGAACACATTAGCGGGGGTTAACGGCATTCAACGGGCTGTGTAATTACACGCAATTAATGTTGTATTGCTTTATGATCAGCTCCTTGCGTGGCGATGTACCCGCAGGCTTCTGTAGCTGAGACCTCACCTTGCTGGGGAGCATCCAACCAGGTCAGTACAAACGGTGGCAGTGGGACCGTATCAGCAAGGAACGGTGCAACAGAAGCCTCTTGCTGCCCCCCTGTTCAATGGTTAAGTCAGTCTACGCGGATGAATCAGAGCCGAGCTGTCTGTCACTAATTGTGAGTTATGACTTGCTTTCAGTACGAAGTGTTTGAGTAACAACATCTCGATGTGCCCGTACTTGGGGAAGCACAACTGTGACTCACGTGTTCGCTGCCTGCCGCTCTAGCCAGCGGGATCCCTCGTCAGTCATCGCCGTGCGCTGTCCTGAGGGAGGGCCGGGTACCCTTCTTGGGAAAGACGGGTTCGGAGATGTTTTACCCTTCCCATTCTTAACGCACAGACTATGATTATCTTTTTGAAGTCCAAAATTGTTACAGCTTATTACAAGTCAACTCACTTTGGCCGATCTGCATGTATTGGAAATATCAATTCCTAGGAGTCCAGAGGCCTGAGTTAGTGACAGATTGAAGCCTGTTGCACTAGAGGAGAAAAACAAACAACAACACAGCACTCCTATTTACTTTCCCAGGTGGTAGAAGAATTGTCCTGTGGAAAAATGCAGGTATATTTGGCACCTTAGAGGTCTTGAAAAGCAGGGGGCTGTTGTAAGGATTTTGCTAGGCTCTCCAGACATGCCATGTCAGCCCTCCCTAGCAGTTAATTTCAGCAAGCCCTTGTGTAACATCTTCCCCTCGGTACTCCCTCTTGAGAAATGTGGGGCTGGAGGAGGTGAGGAGAGATGGATCTGTTTTCCTCTCCACACACACTCAGCTTGAGAGCCCGAGGCCTGGGAGAGGCTCAGCTGAAGACCTGGGAGCTCAGAGGAAGGGCTGACAGGCCTCGCACCATGCCTGGGATCACCCTCATCACGCCTCTGCTGACAGACGTGTTTTATATCACGCAGCGGGGCGCAGAGAGAGATGTTCTCCAAGTCAGGAGGCCTGCAAGGAGGTCTTCAAGGCCTGCGAGTAAGGAACCTCAGCGCGCATTCCCCTTTTCCCCTGCCTTGGACATGCAGCTACCCAAACTAGGGACAGAGAAACAGATTACACAGCTTGCAAACGGCAGTCACTGGTAAATATCTTATTTATTCTTTCCCGTATTTTCATTTGACAGCAGATTTTTGTCAGCAATTTTCATCCCTACCATTTTTTCCACAATTTTTTTTCTTTTTTTTTTTTTTTTTTTTTTTTTTTTTTTTACAAATGCATCTCCAGCACAGAGAAGGAAAATAACACAGACACAGTCATAAGTGCAGACAGAAACATTTTTCCTTTCACATGAGAAATGAAAACATGGCATCGTGAATGGGAAAAAAAAAAAAAATAACTGTATTGAACAGGCTGAAACACAGCACAGCCCCAGGAAAAGGGCAAAATGCACCAGGCAGAAAAAGAGGAGCTAAATTTCAGCTTGGTAGACAAAAGATGACTTTGCATTATACAGGTAATATTACTCAAACTTAAGTGTTTGCTCTTTAAGAAGTAATGCCCTACCACGTTTGTAGAGTAGCTGTGATGCTAAAACAGGAGAACTATGCTGCAAACTATGGAAGGTCGTAATTCCTCCACGCTTCCTAGCTTTAGGTGGAGGATCCACCTGAGGCACACCGCTATCTCCATTTGTAGATACAGAAACTAAGCTGAAGCGAAGGGATTTCCCCAAGGCAAGGGCAACAGCTCCATGTCCCTTACATCACCAGGTACTAAACCTTACTGCAGATTTTCCTACGAGTCTGCAGGAAACGGGAAGAATGAAACGGCCACACAGACGGCCACGAGGTCAGTTTGCACAAGTCATTACTTTTTTTTTTTTTTCACGTGATTACAGTTGAGACACGGCTTGATTCCTTTTCCAACCCATCTTGGAAAGTTATTCCTGATACCTGATATAGTCGCTACCAGCAAAAACGTGCCCACTTCACACTCCTAAACCAGCACAAATTAACAGAAATTATGCAGTCCTAGCAGAATCCCATCAAAACAGCTGCCACAAGCCCACCAGGATATATTCCAACAGGAACCCATCCCACATATTCTTCTCCTGAACATGCTCAAACACACCGACTAGGCAGCGAGAGTATAACTTTAACAAATGTGAGCTCCTTGAGATTAAAGTGGGCAACAAACTGCAAAGCCATGGAGCTTTCCCAGAGAATATGCTCATCCCCTCCTCAAAATACATCTTTTTGGGGATCTCTACAGTGCTATGGGGAGCTGTGCACCCCTCAGAGATCCCTGCTGGCTGCCCAGGACAGAGCTTCCCTGTGTGCTGCCACAGCCCTGCTACAGCTTCAGGCACAGGCTGTGAAAGAGCAGCAGCCCCAGAGCTCGCCCTGAAATAGCAGCAGCGTGGGGGCTGCATGGTAGGAGAAGCAAGTACAGGGAGACAGCAGCTGTAGCACTGTTTCTGCTCCTCTTCCCAAGGGAATCGAGCCATTTCTTACTGGGTCACACTTACAGATTTTGATAAATGCTAATTCCAAACTCCAGACAAAATACATTATTTTGGCTTAGTTGTATTGTTCTTCTGTGGGGGCCCTGTGGCAGAAATCTGAAATGTGCCAAGCAGGCAAATACCTTAATTGTAATGACAGATTTTTCCACACACCATTCCAGCAAGTATCATATAAAGTTAAGTTACATCTACCACAGATGAAGGTCACAGCTGGAGAACATAAACTGTCAGAGGCTGGGGGGATTTTGGTCCTATTACTGCCAGAAAACAATGAAATATTAGGAAAATTACCTTTTTTTGTGGAACACAAGGGAAAAAAAAAGAGCTATTCACTACATACATGAGTACTAGTGTATCAAGTTTAATTGCTCTGTTAGTTCATTTAACCAGAAGACCCATTAATACAATGCCATAGTTCAAGGCCCAAGGTAGTGACACCAAAAGCTAACGTGAATTAATAAATAAATACACAATTATCTGCCACTTCATCTTCATAAATCACTGATCAGCAATCTGTATCCTACTGAATGCTTTTTACCCAGCTTTTGAGAAGACTTTAAGTCAGGTTTACTTAGGTAACGAGCACGCAGGAGTGTATAAAGCATACCTTATAATATTTATGTTCTAATATTTCTCAGGTCCTATAAGGAATAATCATGTATTTCATTATGTAGTGTATAAAACATTTAAATTAATTTGCTATGTGCAAAAAATAGCTAATAAGCAGTCTTTGAAAAAAGGAGAGGTTTAGCTATCATAATAGAGGAAGGAAAGGGGCAGTAAGCCCAAGGGACAGTACCAGCCTACCTTTATATTTCTGTTTTCTTTTGCAAAGTTACAGTTGAAAACTCTAGTTCGCTTTTGGATGCTTATTTACCAGATCTGTTTTCAATCACTTCAAGTATGGTGAGTCTGGCAGGTTTCAGCCAGACCTTGCATAAGCTGGAGTGCTTTATTTAGTGTTAGCTTCACAAACCCTTGTACGTAAGGAACAAGGAGAATAGGATAAATTACCTTTTTTTACAGCATCAAGCAGCGAATATTTACCGCGTATCACACAAGCAGGTGCCACCTACTGAATATATGGTAGAGTGCACACTGTGATCATCACAAACAAATGCTCGCGACGTGCCCACACGTCCATGTGACTGCTGCAGTCATCTTCGTTTCTTCGTGTTTACTCCTTCAGTGACTCAGCCGCAAGTTTCATTTGCTGTGAGAGAAGTAAGAAAGAAAAAAAAAAAGCACATTAAATCGAGTGATAGCAGGATGAATTAAACAAAACAGCGGAATTTGAAAGCAGGACAGTTCTGAAGACAACCAGATAATAAAGCTATACAAAAAAAAAATAATTTGAGCTTTGGTAACTAAAAATAAAAACGTGAGTCTGTCACGCGTGACTTTGACAAACAACAGTTTTAACAAAGGCATTGCTTTTCCCATCAAAAAAAAAAATCAGCAAATGATAATGCAATTTGTGTGTTAATTAATTCTTTTTGTGATGAATAACAACTCCTCACGCTGAAACTAATGAGCCCAACAGATACAGAAAAAAGCTTCTCCTCCTGGCCAGGGGGAATTGCTTTAAGAACGGCAAAATGAAAAGCCAGGGGACATTGCTGTTGTACTGAAACCCTTCTCTGCCACTCTAGGCAATAACCATGCTCATGAAACTGCAAGCTGGCACTGCCACCTCTGCTCTGCAGCCTTCCGAGTCCTGTCATGGTTATGCCTGAGCACAGGGTAGCCGACGATCGCATCCCCTCGCCGTACGCAGCGCTGGCTGCCACCCTAACGGCACCAGGCACGGGTAGACTAGCAGACCACTGATATCCTACTTCTAGGAAGAAATCTACCAAGCTGGAATTACAAAAAACTTACCCTGGAATCACAGATTTTATTTTATTTTATCGGTTATTTTTTATTTTGATTGTTTTAATACAGGATAGTTCCTTAAGATGACTTCCGATGAGCAAAGCGCTCATGGCAATGAAGGGCTGTGATGACAATCTCAGACACAAAAGGGATTAAAAATATGTTAGTTATCCCTTGTTACAGCAGATATTCTTTCGTCAGTGGGCTAATCTATCTACTGGCCGCGCGGTGTGCACATTTGCACGATACATTCCTTACCAATGTAAGATGTTCACTGTGAAATCTTGAATATTGTAAAAATAATTTATTTTTTTTTTTTACAACAATCATAGTAGTCATTTAGCCTTAAATATTTAACTTCCTAAGGGATCTTAAAAGGTCAATGAACTACTGACACAACACTGCCTCCAATTTCCCATTGCAAGAACGTTCAGCTCTAAGTGCTGAACATTTTTTCTGTATTGCCCAGCTTTTTGCTGCTGAATTGCCTGAAAACATCCTGTGGTACAAGTAAAGGGGTAGAGGACTGCTCTGGTGATACGCGTTGTTTCCAGCCCTGTTGGTAACTGGTTTTGTTTTCATTATCTTGGGACGTCACCAGAGAGATCTCTATGAGAAGCCAGAGTAACAGTTCCAGGTATCGAAAATATCTGCCGAGCAGAGAAACCAAAGCCGCTCTTTGAAGCTTCGTGTTAAGGAGGAGGTTTCACAAGGCAGGATTTGCAGCGGCAAGAAGAGCTGAGCTGAAACCCTGCCAAAGGCGGCACTCACACGTCACTGGTTATCAGCTAAAGGTCTTTCAATGGCTGGAAGGCTGGAAACCACCTGCTATGCTAAGAAATAGTTGCAGAGGCTTTAATTCCCCCGAGGAAAAGACTGAGGCAATAGTCAGATAAAGTCAAAGGGAGGAGACCAGACAGGGACCAACCCCAAGGACAAGGTGAGGAGTGAAGATGAGGAGAAGCACAGCACTGCTGCAATTCAGAGTCCCTAGGCTGGTGTCCAAGACCACGGCCTTGTTCTAGGAGCTTTGGCAGGCAGGAATGAAAAAACACACAAAAACGTGCAGTGATCGTATGGGTAAATGATTTTATGCAGCTTCTCTCTCCTGAGCAGCGGTGTCCCGTCCGTGTCATTCACCCACTGGTGCTAGGGACACACACTCTGGAGATAAGGAGATAAAGTTCTTTTTTTCCCATTCTTGTATTTGATTTTATATGAAAGGCCTAGTGAACAGGCTAACAGAAAGACAAACACCTAAGAACACTACCCAAAAAATTGGACAAGGGGGGAAAATGCAAATACAATGGATGCTTTCACTCGATTTCTACCCCGCAGCATACAGATGTCAGATTTCTTCAACGCATCACCTTCGAACTTTTGCTTGCTGCAGGTCCGTGCCTGAACCCATTCCAAAACACTGCTCTGCATGATAAAACCACCTGCAATTACTGTTCTTTACCATTTTTATCTGCATTTCCATGCCACCTATAAGAGAAGCAAAATTAGTTTGTGATACAAATATTTATATGCTTCTCCATGGCAACAGGGCAGAAAAAAACCACGGCTAAATGCAGGAATACAGATTCCTCCTCTGCGACCAGGTTCACTTCTTTGAATAAATCTCTGTGTAAAACTACAGCATCTTTAATTATTACAGTGCCTTCTATCCCTGATGTGAAAACATCAGGGAGATGCAGGACACAACCACCTCACTCGGTTCACGATTCATCAGATTCAAACCTAATTCACTTCTTTTGGACACGTTTTCTTAATTTCTGAGTGCTGTTCGACTTGCATGGGGATTGATGAGTAAGGCAGAAAACTGCAACTTTTACTCTCTGCACAGTTCAACAAATTCTGGGAAAAAAAAACAAGCAGCACGTGAGTATTAATGAGGACTAGGTGATAATCTGTCCAAAGGTCCCGTGCAAGTGGGACTACAGCCATTTATTTCTGAAGGCTCTCCTCGTTTTAACTGAACTAATCTTATGCTGGGATTCTTTTATCCTGGTAATCTTCAGCTTGCACATTTGAGATCCACGTGATGAACAAACAAATTTCCCAGATTCTTCAGTGAGCAGAGAAGCTCCTAAAATAGCCTCACACGCTGCCATGGCACAAACAGCCCGGACCAAAGCAGGCCAAGTGCAATCGCTCCCATATTTCAGGAAATGAATCACAAGCAAAGCTGAGAGCCCCCAAAGCTGCCGATTTCATCTCTTCTTTAATCACTGCCACGATGCCAGGACCCGTTTCACAATACCTGGCAGCACCGGGCTCCCTCAGAGCTACCACTCTGGCAACGAGGCGGGGTGGCACGGCGAGGCAATGGCACCCTCTGCCAAGCTCAGGCTGAAGAATTTTTTAATTTTCTTCTCTTTCACCGTGAAAAGAAACGCTCCTTTTTCTTTTACTGGGAAAATATTTTTCTAGGATGACATCCAGGAAAGGGAGCGTGTTTTTTTCTGATAGTGGACAGGGAACTCACCAGGCACTTTTTTATATGGTCACCTTTCTCCCGATGGCCCCAACAGGCTCTTTGACAAGCCTGTGGGACCTGAGTTACAACTTCTCCATCAAAAAAACATTCCTTTCTAAGCTTTAAGTATTATTTTAAGGGTATTGCAATGAGGAATTTAAAGCTTCTACATCTATTGTTTAAACCTACTGGATACGAAATGACACCAAAAAACAACCTTCAGGTGAGCAGTATCCAAAGCCTAACCCCACCGAGTGCAGCTGCGCAGCTCAGGAATGAGTTAGCTCAGGGAACAACTCCTCCTTTACCACCAGCTGAGATCGACTCACAAAAGGTTCGTGCTTTCCTCTTGCAGAGCAGGCAGCTGATGCACGAGGGCTGGCAACACAGCACCTACCAACACGACTCCCTCGGGTGCAGCTGCAATAACTTCGTGCCCTGCTTTAAGCAAAACTCTTAGCAGCCTGTGCATGCACAGATGCAACAATTCAGGAGTACCTTTAAACTAATATTAGTTTATTTGTAGGGGGCTATGGTGTAGCTTATTCTAACATTCTGCTGTTCGGAATTGCTCAAAATATTTATCTGCTGTAATCCAATAGCTTTGCTATTTCCATTTCATTAAGTTTAAATTAAGTTTAATTTTCTTTTTTTTTTTTTCATACAGGATGCATAATATAATTAAGCAGTACTTTTAGTAGAAACAGCAAAAGCTCTTCAATGCAGGTTCACAAATAGGCTTTACCGATTAATTAGATTTCACCACATTTCAACATTAAATTTTCTGAGAATACGTTAATAAAATATAACAGATACTTTCCCACAGTTGCACACCAAGCCTGTATATCAGGCTGCTTTCTTTGTGTGTTTACAACCAGAAACACAGAATAAATTTTAATGCACAGAATACTGGTTGTAGATCAACAACAACGATGGTCACTCTCCCATTAGGGGCTCTACAACAGAAGCCTCAGTGTGTGGCTTAGTGCCACGAACACTACTGCTATGTGCAAGAACCAGCTGCAAACTAACAGAACACCTCGTGGGGCTGTGCTGGGCTCGATGGCACATCCGAAGCCACAACGTGTCGTTTCACAAGCCCTATCTCACAAATACATCTGTGACCTTCTTTCCGCTTTCCACGCTAGAGGATGGTACAGATAAGCCTGCACTTCCATTATCGGTGCTCATTTCACACACATTTATATAAAATAACAGACAAAAAAAAAAAGGTTTATCAGAAGGCTGACATTCTTCACATTCCTCATTGCTGTTTAATGTTGATTTCTTGCATTTGAGTACTGCTTGGTCATGGCAAACCATCCCCTAACTACTCTTAATTTTTCTGCAGGGTATGGAAACAAAAACCAGAAAATTCAAACAAAACTCAAGGAAAACAACTTAAAAAAAATAAAAATTAACGAAACCGGTATTTAATGACTCACCAGTATGGTGCTTTTCCATATGCATACTCAACATACACATTTGTATATATGAACAGACACAAGTAGCCCTATAGTTCAATGCAAGAAGACTTAAAGGCAGATGTATCAAATCAGCAACTCCATCTTCTGCTTTGCCTGCATTCACCATGTGGAATGGCTCACTAGTAGTTTACTGCTTAAAGAAAGTGTGATGCTACAGGATATCTTTCTCATTTTATCAAATTATAATTTTATTTTATATCCATCGCATTTTCTACCTATTCTTTCCTAACAGTATAAAGTCATAACAAAGACAGTTTCTTGGGCCTTGAGCTGTTTCATGACAACTGCAAGAACATTATCAGCATTAATATTTAAGTGCCAGTCAACTATAGAAAAGGCAAATTAACACCTACTTTAAAACTCAGTCCAACTCTTCCACGTGCAGTATTTTACTCTGTGTGGAAGTGTAAAAACTTATTTAATGGAAATTTGTTATTGCTGAGTATAACGGTGGAAGGTTGTGGTAACTACTTACCTAGAACCATGGACCTTCCCTCAAGGTTTATGCATGTGGCATTTGACACTCTGCAGGGAACATCAGGTCTGGGTAACTTGTGTGCCTCACTTCTGAATCAGACAAGTTTTTCAGCGACTTCTTAAGGTACAATTGCCAGTAACTGGAGATGACAACTGATGCTTGCTTAGAGTAGCAGAAAACACCTCTGCACTAGTATAGCATAGAAATCCGCATGTATAAGTCCCAGGACTTCTGTGTTACACCATATAGCTGCAATATAACACTGAATGCTTATTCTGAGCAACTCACCCAGTACAACCCTGATGTCTTCTTGAAAGATTTCCAGAACACAATTCCCCCCTGGTTAGGTAATATTTTGAAAGATTTGTTCTTTGAGACTTCTAGGAGCAATCTGAAAACTTTCTTATTTAGCAGAGCCAAGACCAATGGCCCTGCGATGCTCCAAATTAGTGAAAACAACAGAATGCATACACATTAACCAACCAAAATGCAGATTTTTGATAAGGAGGTGGAAGAATTTTAAATGGAAGATTAACAGGCAAAGAAACAAATGCTGAGCTGTGTGGCTCTCAGTGAGAAGGACCCTGTAAGTCCTCTCTGAGGACCGAAAAGTTGCTGACCACTGCAAATACCATTCTCCTCTAAACTGCATCTGGAATACTGTGTCGAGCTTTGCCCCCATGTATGAATGATACTGATTGACTGCACGAGGTCTAGCACATGGTCTGAACTCAGCACCAACCCTGCCCTGAGGCCTCCCAAGGTCCCTTCCAGGCTGAGAGATTTTCATGCTGTTCCCACAGGATTCGTGACAGAGGGGTATGTCTGCACTCCAGAGATCTTGAGTGGCAATCTGCTATGACAAATGGCAGGTAGTAGCAAAGAGCCAAAAATAATTCTCTTCTTCCCTTTTATGCATGCCTATTTCACAACAGAATACCAAGTACAAAAAGCTAGTGTTAATGAAGCAAGTTTGCAAAATTAATAAGTGCAGAGTCAGGGAAAATGTGCAGATTCACATAATATGTGCTTTGGAGTATTGTGTGATTAATAGCACTGTGAGCCATAGCAGACAAAGCAACCCCATTTGTAGTAGATTTTTCCAAGATTTTTTTCTGATCTACTTCATATTTGTCTCTGATTTAAATTGCAAAGTATTAATTAATCCTCATTACAATATTCTTATTGCATTAGTCACCCTTTGCTGAATCTTAGTTCAGTAGGTAGTACAAAAATGTAGACAGAGTAGTAGAAGAAAATACTATGATACTATCTAATGCATCCTCAAAAGTATATCTTAAGAATTCTTCCTAACCCTCAGAACACCTGAATTATTTTTATCTTAATTCATACTTCTTAAAGTATTTCTGACTACGCAGCTGCAAAGTGAAGGAAATACACAATGCTAACCACTATGACTAAATGCCCAAGAAGAGCACGTGCTCTGAACGTACCCACAGCACGACAACACCCCAGCAAATGCTCTCTTCTTCTTTAGGCTATGCAGTTACCCCTCTCGCCCAGTAAGCTGCCGGTCAATAGATTTTGGAGTCAAACTATTGACCAGCTGAGAAAGCAATGATGCAAAAACATCCAAAACGACGTGACCTTGATTGTGTCTCAGTGCAGAGGGATGGCCTGCACGGTCACTGGAGAAGCGTGCCCGTCAGTCACACGTTTCATTAATGTTGTGACCTGTGTCAAACTGATTTCACCACAGCTTAAGGGCGAGGTTTGTCACAGGGCTAACAGCGTGTCAACAATGTTTGGATTACTGCAGTGAGCTATGATAAAATTGGGTTTCTCGGGACTTTTGGATAGCATTAATTACCAGTTTGCAGTTGCTAGTTACAATGGAGAAAATAGGGGAAGCGAGGCATTCCCCCTGTCTGCCCGTCTCACCTGCTGAGCTGGATGGATGCCCCGAGCACCGACTCACCCGCTGGCAGCAGAGCTCACCGAGGCCTCTGCGCACGAAGCCCTGACCCATGGGCATGCCTGAGACCGAAATGCTATTGCAGACAGCTCAGTTAGCTTTCTGCTAGCTGCAGCAGCAGCAGCCTGCTCAGCATAGCCTCATTTCCCTCGTACATGATGTGCTTTGTGCTGGCCGTGCCTCACGGTGAACCCAGGGTCTGCAGGAAGGCTGGCGGCTGAGGTGAAGGTGGCCTGCGCCCTGCAGGCCCTGCTCCAGCGAGCAAGTTTTCGGATGGTGCTGGGACTACACTGCTTGCCGAGCGAATATAAATTTCAGACTAAAGCTACGTGAGCTCTGTGCTTCCATTTTGGGGACTGAAGGCTGGAAAGGACCTGCTGGGTTATAGACACAAGCCTCCCTCTGGTGCATAAAACCTCGTAGTAAGGGCTTGGCCCAGAGGACTCCACGTAACGTCTATTCCAGTGGTATGCAGCCAAAACCCACACAAGTTTTGCCAACAGCCTTTAACAAGCTCTGTTGTACCAGAGGCAAAAGACACAAAGTTAAACTATTTAATGTCACAAAGGAGAACACAGGAGAAATTAAGAGCACTAACACGCCTCCATAATCCTCGCTACAGCAAGGAACAGGTTGTGTGAAAAGTCTCAAAGTCTCTCTCAGTGAATTATGCCCCACACTAAGGAAAAAGGCAAAGAATACTCTATAACCCCGCTGCTTTCTGACCACAGATATGGCAATCATTTCAACCCAGGCACACAAAGCCCAACAGGGAGGCACTGGGGCCCTGTGCACCCTCTGGAGTGGCAGCCTGTCCCTGTCCCAATCTAAGCCTGCCCGGGTGGCCACCTGGGCCCACATTTATTTCCAAATGTGTAAATTTCTGTATCAGTATACAGCTCTACTCAGTTTCCAAAAAAAAAGAGCAATAACAATGACAACAAATTTTGCTTCTCTACACAGGGAATTACTTAAGTAATCTAGATTGGACTCCAACCCAACTTACAGCACTGGTTTGGGAAATTTCTATGACAAATTTGATATAAAAAGCAGGTAATATGGAGGACACGTGGCTGTGCTCTATTGTGCTGCCATACACAAAGCAAAATGCCAGAAGTATAAAATTTCCATCTCTCCTGCAACAGGCAGCAAACTTCAGCCTGAGACCCATGTCAGATGATATTAGAGAAAATGAGCAACTCAGCAGTATAAACAGACAACGTTAAAATATACTTGAATTATAAACCATGTGTTTAGAAATACAGTTTTCACACCAAGTGCTGGGTAGATATGTAGCAAAAGCAATCATTCTTTTTAAGGTGTTCTTTTTGAAGAAGGAATTTGCCTTTCAGTTTATCTGCCATAACAGCATGAAAAGTGAGTTTAAAGAAACTATTCAGTATTTAAATTATTTGGTGAAGAAGGCCTGCTCTCAGTTCGGCCAGTTCTCATGCGCTGGGTGGACGAGGGAAAGGCTGTGGATGTGGTCTACCTTGACTTCAGCAAGGCTTTTGACACCGTCTCCCACAGCATTCTCCTCAAGAAACTGGCTGCTCTTGGCTTGGACTGGCGCACGCTTCGTTGGGTTAGAAACTGGCTGGATAGCCGGGCCCAAAGAGTTGTGGTAAATGGAGCCAAGTCCAGTTGGAGGCCAGTCTCTAGTGGCGTCCCCCAGGGCTCGGTGCTGGGGCCGGTCCTCTTTAACATCTTCATCAATGATCTGGACGACGGCATTGAGTGCACCCTCAGTAAGTTTGCAGATGACACCAAGTTAGGTGCGTGTGTCGATCTGCTTGAGGGTAGGAAGGCTCTACAGGAGGATCTGGTTAGGCTGCACCGATGGGCTGAGGTCAACTGCATGAGGTTCAACAAGGCCAAGTGCCGGGTCCTGCACCTGGGGAACAATAACCCCAAGCAGAACTACAGGCTGGGAGAGGAATGGTTGGAGAGCTGCCAGGCAGAGAAGGACCTGGGAGTGATGGTGGACAGTCGGCTGAATATGAGCCAGCAGTGTGCTCAGGTGGCCAAGAAGGCCAACGGCATCCTGGCTTGTATCAGAAACACTGTGACCAGCAGGGCTAGGGAGGTGATCGTCCCCCTGTACTCGGCTCTGGTGAGGCCGCACCTCGAGTACTGTGTTCAGTTTTGGGCCCCTCGCTACAAGAAGGACATCGAGGTGCTTGAGCGGGTCCAGAGAAGGGCGACGAAGCTGGTGAGGGGCCTGGAGAACAAGTCCTATGAGGAGCGGCTGAGGGAGCTGGGCTTGTTCAGCCTGGAGAAGAGGAGGCTCAGGGGCGACCTTATCGCTCTGTATAAGTACATTAAAGGAGGCTGTAGCGAGGTGGGGGTTGGCCTGTTCTCCCAAGTGCCTGGTGACAGGACGAGGGGGAATGGGCTAAAGTTGCGCCAGGGGAGTTTTAGGTTAGATGTTAGGAAGAGCTTCTTTACTGAAAGGGTTGTGAGGCATTGGAACAGGCTGCCCAGGGAGGTGGTGGAGTCACCATCCCTGGAAGTCTTCAAAAGACGTTTAGATGTAGAGCTTAGGGATATGGTTTATTGGGGACTGTTAGTGTTAGGTTAGAGGTTGGACTCGATGATCTTGAGGTCTCTTCCAACCTAGAGATTCTGATTCTGATTCTAAGAGCTGGATAAGATCTCTTCCAAGATCAGGAAGGGAAAGGATCTGCCAGGTCACCCAATTTGGTTTTCCTCCTTGCCCTACCTTCTTGTCCTGCCCATATCATTTCCAGCAGCATTTTCATTCTTGTATTTCTCTTCAAAGACAAGCTTTCTTCTTGCGGGATCTCTGCTATTATCTATTCACAGCCCAGTAAAAAAATTGTCAATGTTAAGCTGGAAACCAATTGCTAATTACAATAGCTTTATTATTACTATGAGGAAATCAGTTCTACAAATTTAGAGTGTATCAAAGGTCCCTCTGCCAGTACTTTCAGAATAGCACAACTGACACAATTAATTTTTTCACCAAAGATACTTGCGATGAGGCAAGTGCCTTGTCTGCCAATCAACCTATCCCTTGGAAACAAGGAGAAAGAGGCAACTTGTTTCCCATTAATTAAACACCGAGCTAAGCATAAGTATTGATCAGTTATAGGCACTGACTTTGGTTTAAAAAATATATTTATGTCAATACCTATCTGTCCAGATAAGTCCATACACGTACCCAGATAAGGTCAATACTTGAATTTGTTATGGTAGGTTTATGGCTTGATCTGGCTCAGGAAATTCTTGAACTGAGCACAGGCAGAGGACCAGAAAATATTACAGGGAAATAAAAACATTTGCCCTGCTCTTCACTCTACCCTAGGCACCTGTTTATTGCCACTTTGGGGCCTGGCCTAGAGAAAACCCTTCATCTCACAGCCCATATGCAGACACAAACACATGCACGCAGGACACACATGGCTTGCCAACCTTTCCATTTTCATTTAAGATGCACAATTGGTTATGAACCATTACTCGCAGAGAATTGCATTAGATTGCCTGGCAAGCGTGTGTGAGAGTCAGAATAAGCTCTGAAATAGCTTGCAGACAGTTTGAAAATGAAGTAAAAGATGTTGGTTTGGTAATTTATAACTCTGTATTTCTTTCAAATAACCTAAGCTACAACAGCTGACATGGTCCTAAATTACAGATAGCACAATATTTATAAAATGACTTCGCTAACCTGTAGCAATTTTAAACAACCTAGCAAAAGATAGAGTTCTCGTTTACTTCAGAATTTCACGTCTTACGCTTCCTAAGGTTACCCCCTTTTCCTTTTTTTCCACCAAAGCAGTGGGAAGGAAGCCTGTTTGCTACAGGTTGGTGACCTTTCTGTTCAGAAGCGATGCAGTGCTCTACTAGAAAAGCTTGCAGTTTGCACTACAACAACCATGTTCCCCTGTGAGTTACCTCTGTGTGCCTATGTGCAGTACTGCAATGCCCTAGATACTCTCTCTCCATAGGCCCTTTTTCAGAGCTATTGGTATAGTTATTAGAGACCCTAACAAAATTTGTGCCTTTCTGTTAGTAATCGCTTTATCTGTAAGCAAGGATTTATGAAATTATTCCGCAATAAAGAGATATAGGAAATTAAAGATATATGATAGCTACTACTTCCAGGTTGAAGAGTTTGGGCATTTAAGCAGCTTTGTAACAGGAAGATAAACAATGATCTGTAGATATGCTGATTTATAGGGATTTAAGGGATATAACACTATATCCCTTGCTGATTCCCTGTCGTTTTCTGCTGTCCTAATTGCACCCTCTTCCTTTGATTTTTACTTCTTTCAGCTGAGAATTGCTCACGTCTGCATCTAAATCCTGTGGCAGGTAAGGGCCAAGCTCACAGGCAGAACTGCCTCCTCCTTTTGCTCCCACCCTGCTTTTGAGGAGCAGTGGGAAGGAGAGGAGGAACAAGTGAGCACAGCCCCACTTTGCCGTGCTGAGGGGCTGGATAAAGCCACGAGATGAAACAAAGCCAAGAAATGGATGTGGTGGGCAGATACATAGTGCTTGAGTCCAGTCCCTGCTCTAGAGCGACCTGCTTTTGCTTCAGAGGAAATCAGAGCAAATGGTGCCAGCTTCAGCATGCACCAAGGGATTAACTATTGTGATTCATGTTCAATTGCCACACTAATTTAATTCTATCTGACCTCGAGGCTTTGCTTGGAAATGTTTCTTATACATTGTAAAGTGCTTTAATGGGTATCCTGGGTTACCAGTCCCATCACATGCTTATTTCTCAATTTCGACCTGTCGCAACAACAAATATATTCTCTAGCATGCAACCACAAATATCTAGAATAATGTCTCTTCACCGCATTAGTTGTAATACATTACAAGTCTGTCCTATTGCTATAGAAACGCTGCACAACATTACCACTTGTCAGAATATGTACTCTGTCTTATAAATTTTATAAGACGACCTGTATAAAATAGGTTGCTACATCTGTCAAACAAATCAGATTTTGAAAACACTCCAGTAAGTGCTGTCAAAGGACTCTAAACAAATGTTTAAGGCATCATATGATTTTTGCATCACTGAAGTGAGTTAATATTATCCACTGAGTCACTTAGTTAATTCGCTGTGAATTTATGTGATAGTGTAAGATGGGTGGTGAGCACACATTTCCACAGATCCTTCAGGGCAAATCAAAAAAGCAAGCTAGGACAGGACAAATAATTACAAAATACTAACAAGGCGGAGAAATCCATTTTCTGCACTTTGAGCTTGATATGTCAGTGCTCGTGTTTCCTTTTTGGTACAAACAGAGTGAAAATTCTGTGTTCCATATAGGATCAACAGAACTGCAAAATGCATGGCAGTCAGTTGCATCCTTTCCTAAAAAAAATAATAATTCACAATTGCAGTGAAAGATTTCTTCAAGAATCTATAGCATACACCTCTCACACACCACAGAGCACATCATTTTCCTTATTAATAGGAAATAACAGTAATTTTTACTGGTTTAAGGGACCATATCAAAAGAAAACGGGATATCCATTAAAAGAAATGGAACCGTAGGCTGTGGATTACAACACACCATAATGAGAATGCATCTACAAAAAGGAACTCAACAGCATCTGCACACACAGATCTCATTTCCTTTTTTCCTGTCTATATTTACACATCAACACATACTACAAGGAAAAGAGGAGAAAGCATACTTGCAAAGACAGAAGCAAATAAAGAAGACTTTAACAATGCTAGGTCCACAACTATGAGCAGTTCCAGGAAAATGTTTATATGCAAAAGGGCATTCTCAACAATATTAATGGGATATTAAATACAATGTTCTCAGCAATATTAATTTAGACAAAAACAAAATTAAAAAAAATATTACTAATAGTTTCAAAAAAATACATACAAATAGGCTGACCAAGGAGAAAAACTGCCAGAAAAAAAAAGGGAATTTATCATATATGGAATGGATCATTCTGCTCCTCTCCTCACTCACCAGTAAGAAACAAACACAAAAACCCAAGCACTCAACACAAAACAGAGAAATGGGAAGTTATAAAATTAAGCTTATCCCAGAGGAAAACATGGCCTTTTATTTTTAGTGCTCTGACACTCAAAGAAATTTGGAAACAAACCTGCTAGAAGTCTTTTTTCAGACCGAACGAAAATTAATTTGCAAATATTCCTGGAAGAGTCCATTTTTTTCTATCCATAATATCACATGTAACTGTACAACCTGAATTTTTTTGCAACTATTTGCACACCATTTGAACTCATGCCACTGTTTTATTGACATTTGTGGTTTGAATTGTTTTATTGATACTTACAATGTGAATAAAAAGAGCTATGTCTGAATTCTTGCACAACTTTCTACAGCATCCCTTCCACAGGCGGTCCACTCAGGCTTGTGTTAGAGGAACATGTGGTTAAGAGTCTCAAAACTCATGTAATTCCTTACTCAGGCAGGCATGACTGCACAAAATGAAATTTATAAAACAAAATGCATGGGAGAAAATGAACTGTCAAATCTTTTCAATATTAGAAGCTGAGTGTAGGGGTTTGAGCTGAAGGGAGATGTACTCATTATTGATAAATTAAAAGGGAGACATCCAGTAAAAAAATGACAAATAAAATTGAAGACTTAACACAAAAAGAAATTCGGCACAGGCCTGGTATATACAAAATGACCCAAAGTCTCTTTAAACAGATGTAACTTTGGTCAGGACAGACAACCTGTGGGGCAATACGAACAATTTTTAAGGACAGTCAAAGTCGCAAACAACATTTTGCTTCTGATCTCACCTCAGGACTTTCTATTCTTATTGAAACACTACACTAGAAATCAATGCCACATTGATATAATTGCACTGCAACTACAGGCTAATTACCTTTCAGTAGTATAAATCTCTCTGTAATTTCTGTATATACTTAGAGTTCTTTTTGCTTCCATTTCCAACACCTGTGGTAGTGTTCCCTTTTTAAGGAATAGCCTAAGATTATTGAGTAAGCAATTTCAGTCTGTCTGTACTGTCCTTGTCACAAGATATTAGAATATTATGTGTCACAGCCTGTCAGAAAAGAGAGATTAGATTTGGGAGAATAAGAGAAATAGAAAAAAAAAAAAAAGACGTTTTGGAGGTAGATGGTGATTTAAAATCTAATTTGAGTCATGTTTTTAATTTTTGGGGGAGCGTAATTTGTGTTTTCAATCTTATTTACAGAGAGACAACTACAGAGCTCAATAACAGGCTGTTGGTTTTCTATTATTGTCTTCCCAACTCAATAACAACTTTTACTCTAGTAATTTTATTGCAAATTTTGCCTTTTTAAATGTACTAGTATACCCACTGGGTCGCTAACCTAATACGTCAAAACCTAGTATTTCTCTTTTCTTGCTAAGAATAAAAATTAGCTCTTCTTTATTACTGAAAAAAACATTCAGGTATTCTGTACAAGTTTCCTAACAGCGAACTGTAAGAGAACAACAGAAAAATTGCCAGATTTATGTATGGTGATTGTTTCTTGTCCTTCTCTAGCTGCAGGACTGTAGGTAGAAGGCATACATGAACAAAACCTGCATTTTCCAGTTTTTCTGTTCTTTTCTACTAGTACGTGCTTGTACTCTTCTCAAGAATTCAGAAACCACCTTCGGCCCAGCAAAGCAGCAGTAGCTCAGGCCTTCTCCTGTCCCACGTACAGACAATTAACACTATATGCAGATGACAAGACTCCTCCTTTGGAAGCCTCTGAGTTAACAGAAAAGAGAAATAGGGATGCTGCTAACATCACAACTTCCCTTCATACCTTCCATACTCCTCATTCTTCTTGTGCATCTTTAACTCCAGGTTA